TAAATGTGTATGTGTGTGCATGTGTATGTATGTGTATGTATGTGTATGTATGTGTATGCATGTGTATGTATATGTGTATGTGTATGCATGTGTATGTATATGTGCATGTGTGTGCATGTGTATATATATGTGTATGTGTGTGCATGAGTATGTATATGTGTATGTGTGTGCATGTGTGTGCATGTGTGTGCATGTGTATGTGTATGTGTGTGCATGTGTATGTATGTGTATGTGTGTGCATGTGTGTGCATGTGTATGTGTATGTGTGTGTATGTGTGTGCATGTGTATGTATGTGTATGTGTGTGCATGTGTATGTATGTGTATGTGTGTGCATGTGTGTGCATGTGTATGTGTATGTGTGTGCATGTGTATGTATGTGTATGTGTGTACATGTGTGTGCATGTGTATGTATATGTGTATGTGTGTGCATGTGTGTGCATGTGTATGTATGTGTATGTGTGTGCATGTGTATGTATATGTGTATGTGTATGCATGTGTGTATGCATGTGTGTATGTATGTATGTGTGTATGTATATGTGTATGTGTATGTATATGTATATGTATATGTATATGTATATGTATATGTATATGTATATGTATATGTATATGTATATGTATATGTATATGTATATGTATATGTATATGTATATGTATGTGTATGTGTACGTATGTGTGTGTGTATATGTGTGTGTGTGTGTGTGTGTTTAAGAAAGAGAGAAAGAGAGAATCCATGCATAAGTGTTTAGAAAAAAAAAAGTTTGTCCCAAACAACATACATTCTATAAGAACAACTTAAAAGACTATCAACAAGTTGCCATTTCTGTTCTTTGCAACCAACTTTCTTTCTTTTTCTTTATGAATGAACTTTGGCATGCAGTTCTCTTTTTTTCTCCCCCACTTTTTTTTTCCCCCACCGAGTTTAAAACAAATATTTTTGAGAATATAAACTTTTAATTGCCTAGATGCTATTGCTTGTCTGTGTTTCATCTCCCCACTGGAGCTATTTTTATCACTGCCTTATTTATAACCACATTCTATATTTAATGCTGCATTATGTAACAGAACTACAATATCATCCACTTAATTTTCTTTCACTCAGTCACCTTAAATATTTATGATTTTGTTTAACTTTTTAATAAACTTTGTGTCAAGATGTCTGCACTAACTATTCTCCAAAGTATTTGATGACAAGAACAGTCTTTTTGTTTTTTCCTGTTTATAAACTGTCCATTGTTTGTCTGTCCTCTTTGTCTGGGAAATATTATCATACTAAACACTTTTATCAACTGTTTCTCAAATGCAATCACATCTTACACTGCCCTCGACACTCCACAAAAAAAAAAAAAAAAGAAAAAAAAAATAACAAAAAACACTTTTTAGTGCTTGGGCCAATTTGCCAAATAGCACCAAGTAATCCTTCCCGTTCCTCCTCCCCGCCCACACAAACAGCAAACCTATAATCAATTCCACACTATAAAAACGCCTCATCACACGGAAATATATTCCAGTGACAATGCATTAAAAACCACTTGGGAAGAGAATAAAAAGAAAGAATGAAAGAAAGAAAGAAAAAAAAAAAACTTGCAAAAAAAATTGTACCTCAAAAATGTCCTTTTCTTTACTCTGCCACTCTCAAACAAAGAACTCAATCCCTTAAAACAGAGAAAAAAGATAAAAAACAATCTCAACGTAAACATTACATTCTGAATTTGTTATCAACATATCTGTGTTCACATTTCAATATATATTTTATTTAATTTTCTTTGTTACAGAACATCACTGGAAAAGTCCTCTATTTATGACTTCATTTTTTTCCCTTTTTTTTCCATTCTATTTTTTTACATACTTTTTCATCTACACTTCTGTCTTTGAATCCATTATTTCCAAACAAATTTGAAAGAATAATTGTAATTCAGATACAAACTTGCATAATTATCATTCATAATCGACTGCAACTATTTTTTGGGAGGGCAGATTGTTTTCTAAGGTACAAATCACTAATAAACTTTTTCTATTTTGCAAATAAGAACACTAAATCTCGCTCGTATCACCATTTAGCAGGAAATAACAACTAGACTTCAATGTCCCATTTATAGGCCGATCCTACCTAACACCAGAGGCTTTTCTTTATACTACCAAGAATTTCCGACACATTAAGGCTTTGTAATCTCGTAGGGCGATTACGTGATAACTTTTCCTTGAACAGAAAAATAATCAGATGCAAAGAACTTGCAATTAGTAATTAATATCATCCAATGGATAAAACCTGCAGATCAAGAGGGCTTAGATTACGGCATTTCACCGGCCTGCAATGACATTCATTTCAGTGCTTAGAATAATGGTGCGCAGACTATGTAATGAATCCATGCTACTGAGAAACCCTGTGAATAACTTACAAACTTAATAATAAAGTCGTCAGTTCTGCATCAGAGATATTAAGTTCCTCTTTGGACTTGGCCCAGGCCTCGTGGTTCTGCTCGCCCAGGTCGACGATGAACCTGCTCCTGGGCCTGCCCCTCCGCTGGTTCGCAAAGGGGTCGGGAATGTTTCGCAGGTCGTAGGCCGTACAGGTGCGGTCCTCCGACATTCTTCTGAACTTGAAGCCCCTGCCTCGCCCCCTGCCGTCGTCTATTCTGTTCTTGCTCCCCCTGGGTCGCCCTCGTCCCCGCCTTGGAATGTCTCCGAAGCTCGTGTCACCCATTGGGGGTTCTATGGGATAAACGTCATCATGAAAGGACCCACTTAACGACTCATCCCCCACCATTTCCGAGTCGTCTAACGTCTCCAGTTCTGGCTCATGTTTCACATTACTGTCCGTGGTTTCGCTCCTCTCACTGTGCTTGTCCGGGGAGGCCAGGGAGTCCTCCTCGGTGGCGCTGGGCATCTCGCCCTCGGTGTCGGGGTCGAAGTCATACACAGAATCCCCCTTGCCCGCCGTGCCCTCACTTATGTGTCCGTTTATCTCCCCGGGAGGGTTGTGTATCACAGCCTGCGGGCCCATGTCGTGCAAGAGCCTCGACTCACAGCCACCAGCACCCTGGCCAGCCTCGCCACCCTGGCCACCGTGGTCAGCCTGGCCCGGGAGAGCCTCCTCGCCGCCCACCTTCAGCTCCATGCCGCCGGGGACGGGCGCGAGGTCGATACGCTGTCTCTTCTCATCGTCACTGAGCACACTCCGGTCTGTCATGGGTGTTGATGGCTCTTCTCGGCAACACACTTCCATTAAGTGAGGAGAAAAATACTAAAAGGTGCCATTGATCGGCCGTCCGGCGTCGTCTGTCAGCCGAGATGTTTGTTTACCAAATGGCTTTGTTGTGGCTGCCGCTCTCGCCCAATGAGAACCCGGGGCGCGCGGCGGCGGCCAATGGGCGCGCGCGGCGAAAACGGACGCCCGAGCGAGCGCACGCCTCGGCTGGACACTCCGCTCGCGCTTCAGGACTCGCGACTCCACTCAACTCGGGGACTCGTTTTCGCCCCTCGCCCCACCTGGCCGGCCTCGCCGACGGCCTCCTGGCCTCCTGCTCTCCCGCCCGTGACCTCCTCGCGGCTGACACGGCCCGCGGTGGGCGCTGGCGGGATGCAAGCACGCTAAAAAATGTGCGGTGGTTGTGTGGTGGCAATGGTGGCCAGGCAGGCAGGCAGGCAGGCAAGCAGGCACGGGCGCTCTCAGGCACAACCACCTCTCCACCTCCTCTCTCTCCTCTCTCTCTCTCTCGCTCTCCCTCCCTCCACCTTCCCACCATGGCCTCCTCGTGGCCTTGTGCTGCAAAAAATCCCTTGCAAATCGCGCTTTCTGAGCAGCTCGTAACACGGGACTTACTATAAACTTTCCTTTCTTTGAAATTAAAATCCGAGCTGCTTTTTTGGCTGCAGAAGTTTCGCATGCAAGGGCGATTTCAACTTTACAAATGAAGAGAATGGGATTGAATGATTCTCGTTTTTTAGCAGGTTGCAAGAAAGGCGTTTTCATCACATAGCTTTATTATGTCTGAAGAGCATATTCCCATGCACATTTTCCAACATAAAGCATTATAAATTTTTCATACAATAATATTGATAAATGTGACTTTATACAAAAAGTATACAGAAAGAAAAAAAAAAACTGTTAAGAACAAAGTACTCTGATATTTATATTTCCTAAAGGCAAAAAAAAAGACTTTATAAACTATTTATAGGCTATACTATATGAAATAAATATAAACTCTATTATACACTGGTGATCACAGAAACATAAGTATGAATAGAAGAAAGGTACAAAATGGGTACTTTTTTTTTTTCTTAAGAACATCCAGAGAGGGAAAAATTTGGGTCTTTAAAACCATTAACATTAACAGATTACCTCATAAGAACTACTCCTTTTATAAAATGTCTTCCTATGTTCCAGTGTTTACCTGGGGAGTGCATATCTCACAGTTGTCTTGTCCAGATCAATGAGGTACCAATTTTTAAGAAATGGATAGGGTGTGAGAGAGGAAGTGGGAGGGAGGGGGGGGGTAGTGGGAGGAAGGGGGTGGGGTAGTGGGGAAGGGAAGGGGGGGGGTAGTGGGGAAGGGAAAGGGGGTGGGGGTAGTGGGGAAGGGAAAGGGGAAGGGGTAGTGGGAAAGGGGGTGGGGGGTGTTGCCTGACATTTCATTGGGAGAAATGTGCACCTTTCCCTCCCCCCCCCCCTCCACCAACCCTCTATCCATCCATCCATCTCTCTTCACTCTTGACATCAGTTGTTCTTATTCCTTTTCCCTAATGATAGATGTATCACGTTGTTTAGCATATGCATACATTTACAGCCCAATGGTTCTGCTACACACACCAGCTCCAGCACCTTTCCTCAGCTACTGGTGGCTCCCACAAGCAGAACAGAACCCCTTTGGTACAGTTGAAAAGGTCAGCTAGGATTCTTCAAGAATTCATGATGGCACCATTGGAAATCAATGCTTTGCAATGGCATCTGATGGTATTAAAATTAGCAGAGAGGAAGACAAAGGAGTCATTGTAAAGTGAGTGCTGTCATCATTTTTTTCTTTAATTTTTTTTTTCTCTCTCTTTTTTTTTTTTATTTCTTTCCCATGTTGAAAACTACCCTTTTGGTGAGTACAAGAAAAATAAAACTCTGGCATGTCAACCCTGTGTCCTCTCTCAGTTCAACATGGAAGACAGACAGTACAATAACAAGTTATTTTGTAACAGTCAAGCCTTCAAGTAAATACAGCATAAAAGTAGCAATATGAAACTGAAGGAGAGTTCCACCCTACACCAATAGACACACTTGTTTCTCTGTACATTTTGACTTCCGTGAATGGTATGTGGTGAATGATACAAAAAAGAAAAAAAAAAGAAAAAAAAGAATAATAATAATAAATAGTGAGTATTGTGGTCTTGGCATTAAATTCACCCTTGCAAGTCCACTGGCCATACATTGTTCAGTCGTGAAAACTAGAAAACAGATGCAGGAGTGAAAATAATGTCAGCCCATATGTTCATGTCTGTATATACATATTCTGTTTGTTTTTTTAAACACTGGTAACAACATTGTTTTATGTGATTTAATAAAAGTTACTTTTCCCTGGTCTTAGAAATAGTTCCTATGATCATATTATCTTCATTTAAGTTTTTTACAAATGTTACCTTTCAACATCCAATATGAAATATGTAAAACTAAAGCTTTTAAGACATGACAAAACAGGATTTTCCCTGCATTGTTCTCTTACAGAAAAAAATTGTAATAAACATTTTTTTCCCGAAAGACAAGCAAATAACATATGCCATCACCAAGTTACCTTTTACATACTGATGATACATATATTAAGTTCTATATAAATATTTTTTGTCTTTTCATTAATATATGTCCCTATGCTACATAGTAGACAATAACATGGCAAATACACAAGTGATCTTCCCAAGTGATCCATTATATAGTTTTCTTTTGTCAACCAAATACAAGCATTGACAAATGTGAGTGCAGAATCAACTCTATAGAGAATGAAGACCCTCTTTTTCAAAGTGATTAACCCATGTGCTGCCTAGACAGCTAACTTAGCACAGAGAATCTTCAATTCAGTTTTCAGTTCAAATAATTGTTTTCCTTTTTTTTTTTTTATAACCATATTCAAAGAAATACTGATAGGCAACCGTGCTTACTTACAAATAAACTAGAACAAACAAGGCGTTGATAGACTCTTAGGTTAATGTCCTTCCCGGCGTTCCGTCCTCTCTATACGCCGCACAGATGAGCAACTTCAGCCAGTCAGTCACTGCCTTGACCGACAATGACACTCAACTCAGACTGGCAGAGAGTAGCTGAACGCAGCACCTAAATCACTTGCGGCTGTTCAGGGATGAGCGACGTGAAAAGGGAGGTAAGGAAGGTCCACGAGAGGGCGAGAATGGAGGGCCTAACAGGTATCTCCTCAACGACCCTATCTGTCCCCTCATTACCCTGAGTATTCCCTTGGTTGTCACCAGCACCGGCCTCTTCCTCTCCCGGATTTCTCGCCTCTCCGAGAATGCCTTCGCCCTGATTTCTCGCCTCAGCAGGGACGTCATTGTTGTTATTATTATTGTTTATATTGTTGTTTCTATCGTCCTGGATGTTGTCGTTTTCATTTTCGTTCTCGTCAGCCTCACGGGGTTGCTCTACTCGCCGTGCAGGTGTGAACCAGCCAGCTTGGTATCTTGAAACAGACAGAGAAATGCAATTACAATCAAAGTTCCCCTCAGGCCTTGTTCGCAATAGAAATTGTCATTTTCTTTAAAAGCAACCTTTCAATCAGTGTAAAAAAAAATTGTCCCACTGACAAAGAAATACTCACAAGTATAACAACATGGCGATGCAGACAACAATCATGAACCTAGAGACAGTAGAATAGAAGTAGACAATGGAAAGAAGCACAACCATCCGCGAGAGAACATAGATCCAGTCCAACCAGTCACGGCCCATGCCCTCGTCATCATCGTCATCGTCTACTTCACCACCTGGTAGAGAGACAAAGGTGATTTTTTGAAAACTCCCATTTATTAAGTACAAGAATCTTACTGAAGCTAGATTACCCTCATTTTCTTTTGAATCAGGAAGGGATTGATATGCACTGTATTTCAATCACTGTCATTTTTCCATCTTACAACAGTTATAAGTTAGTAAGCTATTCCTGCATAAATTTCTGACAAAGACCCTATGAATATCAGGCTTTCCTACCTTGAGCATTCATTCGAATCTGCTGGGGTTGTTGCTGCTGTTGCTGCTGCTGTTGCTGCTGAGGATCTGCTGGTGCATTCTGCTCCTGCTGGCGTTGCAGCTGCTCTGCCTGATCCACAGTCGGCACAGTTGTGGTGGTTGTACTGGACGCTGGAGGATTGGGCCCACTTGGGAGCTGAACCATTTGCTGTGGCCAGGCCAGACCAGCCATGCCTCCACCCATCTGCATGCTGTGGTAGACACACAAGAGACACCTCCTTATTGTACTTTCTACTTCTAAGATGTAGCAACCATCCTTTGCACATTTTTACATGTAAAAATGAAATATATATATCTATATATCTATCTATCTATCTATCTATATATAGACAGACAGACAGACAGACAGACAGACAGACAGACACACAGACAGACACACACACACACACACACACACACACACACACACACACACACACACACACACACACACACACACAAAATGCTGTACTCACTATTGCATGTATGCCATGTAGTGAGCATACATTTGCTGCATGGTTGCCATTTGTTGCATTGGGTCGCCACTAGCCTGGAATGCATTAGCAACCATCTGCGTGGGGGATGGATAAGCAGATGCATCTATAGTCTGCTGTGTGGGCACCGGCATTCCCCCTGAGGTAGTCGCTACAATGCGCCGGCGAACACCATCTGCAGCAGAAAGAAATCCTCCTGATGAGATACGGAGGCTTGGATACATAGAAATATTTTTAAAATCTTAGTGCCTCATGAAAAAAAAAAGGACAGAACTACAAAACAACCACAGGCAATGTAAAACACAAAGACACGAACCTGACGATTCTGTGTTCGCCAAAGGCCCCTCCTGCTGCTGGCCCGTCATGCTTTGGTTGGTATTGGTCTCTGCTCGTGTCTGCGCACTATTTCTTGCAAACGGGGTGCTTTGGGGCAGGGGTCTCCTCTGCTCTGTTGCCTGAGACTGTTGTGGGCTGGTGCTGGCAGTGTTACGAGGGGGGGAACACACTAGGTGTATTGTATAAGAGTTGTTTTCAGAAGGGTATCGCAGTATGTTTCGAAGAAGTATGTTGTCGAGAAGTAACTGGCCCGAGTAGATGAGTCGCTGTTCATCCACTCTCTGCCAAGACGAAAATAAAGGGATGAAAACTCGAGACAAAAAAGGCAAGTGATACAAAGGCTAAATAAGGAAGGTAACATCAACCTCAAGAAAATATACTTCCAGGAAAGTAAGGAATCTATATACTTTATTTAAGAAATACTACTGAAAGAAAAACCTGCATAAATGAAAATGAAAATCAAAAGAAAACAAAGCCATTCACATGCATTACACAATCAAATCATTTATCCTGACACATATTACCTCCTCATAATTTTATTATAATCTCCATAAACAAATAATGACTAACACCATTAACATCACATCCATTTACTCTCTTCATGCACATCACAGCGGAATGGTCTGTCTCATGCTTTCTAACTGTCATTAATCACTCACAAAGTAGTCCGCAAGCCTAACACTCACACACACTAATCTCACCTTCCATGTCCTAAAGAAACTGAAATACATTAAAACTTGACACCTGTTGCAAAAATGACATAAACGTGCCTACCTATCAATATGTTCTTTGTCCTTGCCTGGCAAACCTGCAAACACCGAAAATTGTCAAAGGGCAACCATAAAAGCCCATC